ATACGCCTTATTGTTTCCTCCCATGGACCCTGTCTACATGAATTTTTTTATTATTTACATAATTTTGCTGTTGGGAGAAAAAATAAGTATAAACTTTATGGAAATTAATCAGATGTCTTAAAGCCAGATGTCTCCTGATATAGCAACTCTATGTTTAGAAATTTAACCTAAGGCAACAACTAAGAGTATAAGCATAGATCTAACTAGAAAAATGTTTATAACAGCAAAAGACTGAAAACGACCTACAGCGCAGCATTCGGTGTTGAGCAAACAAAATAATAAATCCTTATGATGGAACGGCATGCAGCCATCAAAAATTATGTACATCAACTGGCAGGAAAGATATTTATATTGTATTATTAAAGAAAAAAGACCGTTACAAAATAAATGTACAATAGAAATCTAGAAGAAAAAACTCTAAAGTGTTAGAAATATTTGTCTCTGCAAATTGGAATTTGGGGATGATATTTAATTTCTACATCTTTAATTTTAATTCCTAACAATGAGCATTTATCACTTGTGTTATAAAGTGCTGCAAATTTTCAAATAGGTATACCACAGTACAGCTATGATTACACATTCTGCCTTTGTCATTTATGTGATATCTCTTTGAATGGAGGAAGTCTTTCTTTTTTTTTTCCCCCCTCATTTCAGGATCTGTTTATTTTTTTAAATTAATTTATTTTTGGATGTACGTCATAATATATTTCGAATTCTGTGTAGATTATATCATGTTCACCACCCAAAAACTAATTATAGTCCATCCCCCCACATGTGAGCCTAATCACCCCTTTTGCCCTCCCCGCTACCTCCTTCCCCTATGGTAACCACCAATCCAATCTCCAATGCCATGTGTTGGTTTGTTGTTGTTTTTATCTTCTACTTATGAGTGAGATCATATGGTATTTGACTTTCTCCCTCTGACTTATTTCACTCAGGAGACTACCCTCACGGTCCATCCATGTTGTCACAAATGGCCGGATTTCATCATTTCTTGTGGCTGAGTAGTAGTCCATCGTGTATGGTATTTATCCAAAGAACTTGAAAACGCAAAGGCATAAAGATACTTGCACCCCTATGTTCACTGCAGCGTTATACACAATAGCCAAGACTTGGAAGCAACTTAGGTGCCCATCAAGGGACGAATGGATAAAGGAAGTCTTTCTTCTGAGGGTTTATAGGCTAAAAGTCCTTCCTTATCTTTGTTACAAAATAAGGTGGGACCAGCAGAGCCTCAAGACAGGGGAGTAACCCGAAGTCTCGTTTTTCCTGAGATTTCCAAGCCTCACTGTCTCCTTTGCTCTGCCAAAGTGCTGACTCACTGGAGACAGTAATCCTGGGCTATCAAGGAGATTTTGTTTTAATACTCTGTTTTGCAGGGTTCTCAAAAGACTTCTAAAGAAAGGCTTATCCAGCATCCCATACCTCATTTCAGGAATCAACTTCTACCCATTTTAATTCAGGGTCAACTATCTGCATCCAACAGGAGTTATAGACGTTGTCGACATTCTGTGACATGTCACACCAGGGAAGAGAAATGGCCCACAGTGACCCTTTTCCCTGGCTTCAGGGAAATCAGAATTCCATAATCAAAGGCAAAAAGACAAAAGCTTTTGTGGAAAGCTTCGCTTCCCTGTCCTATCTTATACAGCGTATAGTTTCCTCACATCAGAAGTTCTTTGAAATAATTAATCCTCTGCCGGGAGAATCATCTAGAGACCTGTTTAGCCAAGATCTAAAGTTTTTACACTGTTTTTAAGAGGTGATAATCGATCTTGTTTTAAAATAGAGTTCAGCGTCACTTATATGTCCCTTTACCTAAGAACCACTCATCAGATGGCAAACTCCAGCCACAAGAGAGAGGACTGAAAGCAGGGCTTTGATGAAGGCGTCTCCAGTCAAAGGAATGTGAGGGAATCGCTCCCGTCCCTGGGCTGGTTCTCATAGTGCAACACGGCTTTGTCTCGGCTTCTAAGATTCTTAGACAACAACAACAACAACAAAAGCCAGAGACTTTAAGTTTTACTAAAGCACTTAACTGCCATGATGGGAGTGCGAAGTTGAGTGTTCTAGTTTATCTTGCAAAAGTAGCCACCCTCACAGCTCACAGTGATGGTCTAGACGCCTGCCCACAAAGAAAGACCAACACTAGACCAGGGCTCCCTTGCCTATCTTTTCTTTTGATCTTCAGCCCCTAGTTGAGATGCTCATAAGAAGCAGTCAATAATTTCCCTTTCTGTAGAAAAATAGCAGCTGCTGAAAGAGAACAGCAGAACTTCTGTTCACTCTTGAAAACAGGTTTTCGCAAAAGTATGTCAGAGCATTCCTTCTGAATTTAGGAAGACATCTTAGTTCCCTGAAGCAGTGGCACTAAATATAAAATTGAGACACTCGATTCTACATAGTTGTGTTTCCCACAGACAACTGTCTCACTCTATTGAGCAAATATCACATGTGCTTTCCGTATTTCCTCATAACCTTGCATTTTTGGTTGAGGATAGATGTGTTATCAAACTGCTGTTGACACCAGGTCAAGGATGATTTTCCCAGCATGATCTAGGTTCTTGAAACCATAGCTCATTATCCAACTCACTTTTCCTGCTAAGACACTTAATCTCTTTTAAGATTGCAAACTCTTATCCCTACTCATTTTGGTTTCCACTTTTCATCGTCTAAAGATTTAGGTGGCAACACCCAGAATTAGATCCAGCCTTCTAGGCTGTGAAATTTAGCAGCTCGTGAACTCTGAATGTGAATCTGTACCTCTTGTCTTCGTAACTGATCACAGCCTCTTTGCAAAAGATTATGTGTAAAATGATATCTCTTCAGTGGAAAGATGAAATAAGCAAGGCAGCTACAATTACTGTGCGCAATATGCAACAAAACATCGTATGACTGATCACTAACTTAAGACAAACATTCTCATTTAGCTCAAAGTTATTTTAGGACTCAACATAAATAACACCAAAAGTTACCAGCTCATGTTTCCTCCGGATAACCAAGTCATTGAGGACAAATAAGCCCTATTTGCCGCTGCTCTGTAGTTTTCTGCCAGTCTAGTGGTCTTAAGTATTAGGACTATAAAAATAATAAAGAACATATATTGGTTACTGTGAGTCCAGTACTGTGCTAGAGGCTAAAAATACAATATTATACTCACTCCTAACAACAATTATCTGAGTTAGATATTACCATTCAGTGGGTTCAAAATTATACCTGAATGCTTACAGCGAGTGAATTACAAGCCCTCAGATTTGGAGCCGTGTCTGTGTAACAGTACAGCAGGGTTTATCCGCAGAGGCACTGTTGATATTTGGGAGTGGATAATTGTTTGGGGGGGTTGTCTCATGCACTGCAGCCTCCTTGGCCTCTATTCACTAGATGCCAGTAGTACTCCCTAGGCATGACAACCAAAAATGTCCCCAGACATTGGAGCGAAATTGTCCCCAAATGAGAACCACTGCTCTAGAATTAGGGATTTGACTCCAGGTCCCACTTCACACTTCTTCTGACATATTATGCAGATTTCCCTCGCCAAAGTGAATTTCTAAAGTGATCCCCATTTGTTTTCTTTTCTAATTCTTTATTCGCAAATGTTAAAATAATAACATGCACATTGTAGCAGATGAAATTATATAGTAACTATATGTAATAAATCTATAATGGAATGCTTAGTCTCTTCTCCTCTCATCCGTGCTCCCCTTTTTGTCCATTTCCAGCTGGATGATACAAGACAAGCACAGCAAATTGCTTTCTTTTCCTGTATCTTTCCTCCTCAATCAGAATACAGATTTCCTGTTGGGTGATGTGGAGACCTCCTGCCTCTTTGCAGGGTGAGTTTACTGGAAAGAGGACACTGAATGATAGGTGTGCAAATTTGCAGATGCAGTTGGGTCCTCGAACCAGGGACTCTAACTCTGTCAGGCCTGACTGATTGACCTTGAGTGCCAGTGAGTCCAGTTGCTCAGCTTTGGACAGAAAATTAAGGTGAATGTTCATGAGAAGAACTGACCCCACTCTTGCCTTGGGGCCTGATCGAGAACCTGACCCAATTTTGAAGACTCCTCTTTTTCTCCCAGTGTCAGACAGAGGACACATGGGCAGCCGAGAGTTCATGCGAGTTGCCTCTAGAGGCTGTTCCACCCCCACTTGGGAGTGGCACCCTCAGGCAAGTCCCTGAGGAAGAAGGCTTGTGACTGTCTGCAGATGAAATTGTGCCTGGTGGTCTCACTAAGAGCTTACTCTGCCACCCCACCACACTTCCACTACCAGAGTGGCAGAGTCCCAGCAAGAGAAGGTCTCTGGGGGGAAATCGTGCTCCCTTCTCAAAAGGGCACATGCCCAAATTCTCAAATAAGGTCCATGAGGAATTATATCTTCTTTCTAGGCTGAGAGGCATTCTAGGGGTAGAAAGTGAGGGAGACTAGTTGAGAGAGTAGGAGAATTTTTTCCCTGGAAGCTGATGGAAGTTCTGCTCTGGAAGAAATAGTGTAATCTTTCACTGAGGGCTGGGATAGAATCCTTCTGCCTTCAGAGAAGACTGACCAAACATGGGAAGCCATCAGACATTTGCCTGCAGGCAGTTATAACACTTGCACTTAAAAACAAAAAAAAACCCCTCTTTTTAGAGGGAGGCAGAGGACCCTGGATGCCTTAAATCTGGAGGAGCCATCAAGGTAATGTGTCAGTTAACTTTGGGAGTGAAAGAGCCCTGCTTCTGCCCCTTGTGTGGAATCATAAAATCTCAGGGGGGAGGGGAACTAGCATGTCATCTTCCCATGCCCTTCCATCCCCAATACCCAGCTCAGAGGACCTGGAGTTCATCTAAGTGTTTGTCAAGTGACTGATGAGGGAATGAATGAATGAAAGAATGAATGAGGTAATTCCTGCTTGATACTCTAGCCAGCTCTCTGCCAGCTCCCCAGGGAAGAGGTCAGAACCCTTCTCCTCGCACCTTCTTTGCACCCGTGCCCCCCGCGCCCTGCCCAGCGGGCGCTTACCTTGTGCTGTTTCCACATGGCCCCCAGCGGCTTCACTTCGTGCTTGCCGTGTCGGCCCTCCTCCAGGCACAGATAGCACACCGGGGTTCGGCAACTCACGCAGTACATGCTGTAGTTCTCCATTTCGTGTTCGGGGCACGTAGGGAACTTGCGGCCCGCGCTACCCCCAGCAGCTCCGGCCCCGGTGCCCCCCGGGCTCTTGCAGCTGCCGCCTCCGCTGGGGCCGCCCTGGGCTGCGCCTGGGGACGCAGAGGCGGCCTCGGTGGGCGCCGGCGGCGGTGGTGGCTGCACCAAGCGATGCTTAGCGAAGGGTCCTCGGGATGGATGGCACTTGAGCTGGCAGGCAGTACAGTAGAGCACGTCGCACTGCTCGCAGAGCGTGGCAGCCGGCTCGGGCGGAGTGCGGTCACATAACTGGCAGATGGCCACCGCCGCGGCTGCGGACGCCCCCTGCACCGCCCCGCGGCCCTGCTGGTACCGCTGCACGATGGCCTCGAGCAGCCGGTTGCGCTGGAAGCCGCGCAGCCCGCGGTGGTCCAGGGAGGCGCTACGGTGGCACTGCGGGCACGTGATGGAGCTTGAAGAGGACGAAGACAACGAGGAGCAGGTGGCACCTCGGGCCGCGGCGGCCGAGGAGCCGGGCGGCGCGGGCACCATGGGTAGCACGCGAACCCCGTTGGGGGACTTGAGGCTCGGGGTGTAGGAGCCATAACCGCTGTCTGTCTCACTGTACAAGCTCAGCTTGTCCGCGTGGTCCCCGCCACCTCCCGCACCGCCGCCCAGGCCGCCAGCTGCGCTCGCGCCCCCGCCGCTGCAGGCCTGGCCAGGCGCCGGATCATGGTCCAGAGGGGGCGCGGGGGCGGCACCCGTGGGCAGACCCGAGCCCCGAGAGTGCAGGAGTGGCTGGGGCAGGTGCTGCTCACCGTCTGGGGTCTGCACCGCGATGGTACGAGCGCAAGGCAGGCAGACATTGTGGGAACAGGGCAAGATGATCGGCTCCCGAAAGAGGGAGCCGCACACGGGGCACTTCAGCTCCTCCTCCATCACGGCGCCGGCAGGTCGAGATGCTCAGGGCGAGGGATGGAATGGCCCAAGTTCCGGAGACCGGCGGAGAACAAGCTTGGTTAGCACCAGTGAGACTGGAGGCGGGGGCATCACACAAGCATGACTACTTCACAGCCCGGGGGCACGCCCCTCTCTCTGTCCTGGGGCCACCCGCCCTAAGACGATTGGGGGCAAGAGAAGGGAGGGGGTCCTCACCTCCTGCCTGCGAGGCTCCTGCACTAGCGGCTTCAACTTGCGGCCAGAGTCCGGAGCCGGTCGGCTGCCCTGGCGGTGGCCTGCGAGGCGCTCTAGGTGATGAATCAGCACTAGCGCCGCCGCCGGCCGCAGCGCGCGTCTCCTCTCCACATCAGGATCAGCGGCCGGGCTGCGGTTCGCTAGCTCTCCAGTTTCAACCCCTCGGCTCCAGTGGGCAGCTGTCCAAGGGCCCCCTTTTGCTCCTGCCCCGCCCCTAATCAGGACGATCGGTAGGTGAGAAGGCAGGTGAGCAGGCCGTTTGGCCGTGGGTCTGGGTTCAGCACCACGAGGCGGCGGACAGCGCCCGGGAGCCGAGGGTGGAGCCCCAGCTCCTGGAGCTGGGACCTACGGGCCGCCACCCGCCCGGTTGCTGCGCCCGCGACTATCTCGGCGAGGCCCGGCCGGCCCGAAGACCTTCGCTCGCCTCCTTCCCTGGCGGCGGTTGCTGCTGCTGCGGGCCAAAGGCGCCCTGGGGCTTTCTCCCCACGGCCAGGATTGACCTGCTTCTCTGGTTCGCAGCTGCAGCTCCTGCGGCGCCCCTGACCTTGGCCGCGCGACGCTGCAACCGGCGGGCGGAGGGCGAGCTCCCCGCTGGCTCGGGAATCCCCTCCCCGCCTCCTTCCCGCCGCCGCCGCCTCCTCCCGGCGCGGCGCGCTGAGGAGTTGTAATTTCCAGAGCAGAGTAGCTGGGGGCGGGGAGAGAGGAGACGTCAGCTCAGCGAATAAGGGCTCGTCTCTTGCTGCCAGGGGAGTCAAGGGGCAATTTAAAAGGTTTCGCAGAGAGGATCTTTGTTAATAACAATCTATTATTTGGACGGAGATTGCGTCTTGAATTAGTACAATGCCCTGCCCCACCCCGCCCCTGCCATCATCACCCCTGCCCACTCCCTGCCCCCACTCACCACCATAAAAACGTAAAAACAGGGACCTAAAAGCCGGTTGTTTACAAATGCATAGGTAGCATGGTTTGACAGTCACTTTCTAAATCTATGAGAGAGCAAAAAATGCAAGTCACAAAATGTCGGACAGCCTGAAGTCAAAGGGTGAGGTTTTATTTATGGATTGAAGCACAAGCCATTTTGTCTCTTCTTTTCAACCAAGAATGCTCATCCGCGGTCGATGTCAGTCGTCTATGCAAACTGAGTGAGGGCAAGAGATGGGATTTATAAAGTGGGAACGTGCCACTTTGGGCCCCTTACCCCTCGGAACCGGGCACCCCGGACCCAGCCCAACCCGACTGCGGATGGGCGGTGTGGCGCGGGAAGGAAGTCAGCGAGCAGGGATGTTGGTTTTATGAATGGGGAAATCTTCACGTTCTGCAAGACCAGCCACGAGCTGCGGGAACAGCCTCCCACCCGTTGCCCGGCTGTTTCTTCTGCTCGGCTCTTCTCTCTCCGCCGCCGAGGGAAGGGACGGTGGCGGGAGGCGGAGGGCGCGGTGGGTGGGGATAGGCCGAGGAAGGGCTCTGCGTACGGAAGTTTCACGCTGGCGTGAAATAGACGCAAATTAGGAAATCGTTTGTCTGAAAGCGGCATGAATATTGAAGTCGCGCCTCCCTCTGTTCTCAGGTTCTCCAGTTCGTACTCCAAACAAAGACAAGAGGCGCGGCCGCGCAAGGCGTGGAGCCCCAGCGTCTGTCAGTCACCGGGGAGGGAGCGGCGCCGGCTGGCGGGTCACGGCAGGAGAAAGCGGCAGCCCTGGTTATGGCTTGGTGCCTAAAAGATAGGGACCGCCCGCGAGTGGGCCGCTTGGGGAGGGGCGCGGCCGTGCACTCCTCTCAGTAGTCAGGACGGCCCAGAACTTTGGGGGTCAGGACTCCGGGTGGGAATCTTGGCTCCTTTGCTGACCAGTCGCCCCATTCTAAGCAGTTTGCTTGTGCTTTCCTAGTCTCCGATCCTGCTTCTGTCAAAGGAGTATTGTAATACTTACGTGTGAGAACTAAATGAAGTAAATACAGATGGCAAATCCTACGTCCTGCTTTAAAATCCTATGACTCCTCAGTTCAGTCCTGCCCACTGTTGAGTAGCCTGCTTCCAGTTTGTCTAAGGTTGAAGAGCAGACCAACCTAGTGCCAGATAGAGCACCACACAGAGTTGGAGACCTGACTATACTTCCCTTCAGCTACAGGGAGCTTAGAGCAATTATTTAACCAAGCATCAGTATCCCCAGGTGGGAGATGGTGACAACCCTGTCCTAATCCGCCTTCTATGGATAAAGCCACAATGAGCTGGATCCTGCCTGCAATGCTTTGATAAGCTTTCAGGAAAGTTGCTACAGTATTGCTACAGGGCCATATCAGAAATGCTGGAGCGTGGAGATAGTTAGGTCTGTGACTGAAGGCACTTAAAGGTGTGTTCCTTGTGCTTCTACCAGTGTCATCACTCACCCCAGCCCAGCCCAGCCTCCTGGTGACTACAAAGAAAGTAATAACCTCTTATGGTTCTACTGTGAACAGGCTTGCCCCCCACCAACGGTCATATGTCTGAGATCCACTCTGCTTTGTCATTTTCAGAGCAAGATAAGCTGCTTGGGGTGGGAGTTGGGGCGCAACCTGGAGGGATATGTAAATCTTTCCCTGTACAGAAGGACCTACACCTACAATTCCAGGAACTCTGTCACTCAGGCTGAGCTTGATTTTGTTTCCCGTTGGAGGGAAGCTCAGCTAACACAGAATTCCACACATGCATTTCTCATATGCCCTCCATCCCCACCACCCAATCCCATGGCCTAAATCAGCTTAGCCTTGTACTGCACTGCTGCTAAAGCATCGCTCATTTGGGGGCTTGGCATCCGACAGCTGCTTTGTATAAGCTGAGGTTGCACAGCCGGCTTCAATATTTTGTGTATATACCCATAATTACTAACAATTGTCAAGATCGTCTATAAAAAGTCCTCTTTCTGTCCAACTGTGCCATGAACCATATGTACATAGAAAAGTCATTTTATTCGTTTGATCTTCAGTTTTTTTCTATTTTAAAATTTAAGGATAGAATTCATTGAACTTCGGCTTTTCTTTTGGTTCTAAAAGGCTTTGTATATTGGTTGTTAAGTATGACCTATCCCACTTAATAAAAATGACTCTCATGAAAAAACTCAATCCCAAGATTAAATGAAATCTTCCCTTTTTCAAGTCACTAGCATACTGTTAAAGTCTGGGCCGTGCAGAGGGTGAGGCAAGTAATAATATTTGCATTGCAGAACTTGACAGTATGTCCTAGTCTGTTCAGGCTGCTGTAACAAAAATATCATAGACTGGGTGGCTTAAACAACAGAATTCACTTCTTATGGTTCTAGAAGCTGGGAAGTTTATGATCAAGGCATTGGCAGATCTGGTGTCTGCTGAGGGCAACTTCCTCCTTTGCGCATGGCTGCCTTGTCATTGTGTCCTTACATGGAGAGGGGCAGGGGAGAGCAAGCTCTCTTGTCTATTCTTATAAGGGCACTAATCCCACTCATGAGGGCTCCATCCTCATGACCTAATTACATGCCAAAGCCCCCGCCCCTGCCAGTTCCATCACATTGGGGGCTAGGATTTCAATATGAATTGGGGGAGGGGACATGAACATTCAGTCCATAACACAGTGTGAAATTACATTCTTATGTATAATCTCATTTAATCCTCACAATGACCCTCAGAAGTACACATTGCCACATTTCCTCAATTTTGTGATGTATGTATTTTTACATTTTAATGTTGCTGAAATCAGGAAGTATACTACAATTGACAGATACTTCTCCTCTCCCCACCCTTACCTTGAAAATTCCTTATTAAATCTATGGTGCATCTTACAATCACTCGGAATCATGGAAATTTTTTTTTTTTTTAAAGATTTTATTTTTTCCTTTTTCTCCCCAAAGCCCCCAGTACATAGTTGTATATTCTTCGTTGTGGGTCCTTCTAGTTGTGGCATATGGGACGCTGCCTCAGCGTGGTTTGATGAGCAGTGCCATGTCCGCGCCCAAGATTCGAACCAACGAAACACTGGGCCGCCTGCAGCAGAGCGCGCGAACTTAACCACTCGGCCACGGGGCCAGCCCCAAATATTTTATTATTTTTATTTCACAGGCAAAGAAACTAAGATGAGAAAACTCAAGGTCTTGCAGTTTGTAATGGTGGACCTCGAAGTGGTCTGATTTTGAGTTCAAAGCATTTTCCTTTAAGCCACGGTTGCCAGTGGGAACTTCCCTCCCAGCTTTGAGTTACTGGTGAATAGTAGAGGGGAAGCTCAGGAAAGCAGACTTGCTGTGCTCTCTGTCATCACCCAGGGCTATTGAACACGCAATTCTCTCTGCCTTCCCATGCTACCTGCACCCTCCAGGTTGGGTGCACCTTTAATGTATTCCTGGAAGTACCCTGCATTATTCCTCTGTAGCTCTATCATCACCTATCATTTTTGTTTATGTATCTCTCTCCTCTAGACAAGAAACTCCTCAAAGATTGGCCAGTGGCTGGCTCATACCGAATTATCCATCTTTGTGGACCAATTAACTGGCCGTAGGCATGAAGATCCATCCTCATAACCTGCCCTGAAAAGCATAGCTCTGGTGGAAATAATTTATTTATCCTGCAGAAGCCTTCAGTTTCCACATGGAAACTTTCTCCTTTTAATTCCCAGGTTCAAATAGGTTATTTTGTTTTGTTCTTTGTTGTGTGGGTGTACGCATGCGCTCACGTGTCTTCACATAACATTCTTTACTTACTCTTGATCTTCTTAGTTTTTAGCCTTATTATTCCTGCTTGGTTCCCTCTCCCTTGATCCTCTCCATCTCTGTTCTAAACTACTTATGGGTCTCAGAAAGATGGCCTCGTATTTAATTTCTGCTCATGAGCACAAGTCCCTCTAGTGTCATCCTAGTTACTCCATTTTCCATGGCCTTTTTTCTTTTAAAGGAGAAGCATGTGCACACATCTGAACAGTACATTAGTAATTAAAATTCCACAATGCACTGTCATCAAGACAGAGAAAAACGCTTTGCCAAGAGTTACTTTGCGCTCCAGAATGGTTTTTATGCTCAAGTGTCCCAGAAACACTCAAGAGGCAGGATAATGTTACCTTTCCTCCCAAAAGAGCACAAATAAGTTAAGTAATTTACTCAGGCTAACACAGCAAATTACAAGTAAAACAATCAATCTGCTTTGTCCTTTGAATTTCAAGATGAAGTAGAGTGGAATTTAAGGCTTTATCAGCTAAAAAGAGATGCTGTAGTCTCAAGTATAAGAATCTCTGAAACAAATTTTTTAATGATAGCTTATGATATTTTTCTTTTAAGTAACGTTTTCGTTCCTTTGGTTTTTCCAGTGTAGGAGGATTCAGGGAATATAATAAAAATCTTCAGCCCAGAAACCGTATGGTCTAAAGTAGCTTGCATTTAACTAGAAGAAAGCAGCCACATCCACCTCTATGCACAGAGCACCAAACCTTCTTTGTGGCAAAGTTAATGAGGAGTCGTTATCACTAGCGACATAAAGCATCCTCTCCAGGGTATACAATGGGCTTCTTTTCTAGGAGACAGATTCTGTAGAGGAATCTCACAATCCAGCCACTTTCCCCTTTAAACATCCTTGATTGGTGCTTAACAATCTTCTGTTTTAACTTGAATACCATGTAAGGACTTCCCCCCCTTTAATTCTGAGACTCTTCTCTACAGATCAGGAGACCTGGTCTTGGAAAGCTTGCCCTTCTCTCTTTGCATCTTTTGCAAGTAAAAGGGTTTAGAGTCAAATCTTGGATGAAGCAAATTGATTCCAATTTATAAGACTCTTTGTATCGTAGGGTATCTTCCTAATGCATGGAAACTAATATTATTACTACAAAAGCAATTTGGGCCTCAAACACTTCCCTATGGTTAGAAATTTCGCTATGAGAATTGTAATAGCTCTTCACATTTTCATGGCACCCTTTCTTATAGATTACATAACCTGATCCTTACAGCAACACAGACTGGCCTGCAAGATGATGAAACTGAAGGACGGGCCCTAACCCACATGGTAGGATCTCATCAGCCATGCTAGTACAACTTGATCCCAAACCTAGGCACTATTGTTTAGTCTAAAGATGGGCACCTGACCAGGCTAGGCCAACCAGAATTCCTTCCTGAAATGTAGAATTGGATCCAGAGAAAGAATCTGGATGGGCCTCTAACACCAAAGTTAAAGAACTGCTTTGGTCCTAGAAAAAGCAAAAGAAACAGAGAATGAAGAATAAAGCAGAAATACAGAGAGAGAGGAGAGGGCTGGCTAAGGGTCCCACAACCTTGCATGTTTCTGAATCACAGCTACACTCCTGCCTGTGGGTTCCATAAAACACCCC